TCTTAAATGAAGATGACAATCCAACCCTCTCATGTAGAGTCTTGCTTTGAATCAGAGTCAAAATACCGTGCTGAAAATAAGATCTCTAATTTGTCTTGCCAGTTTTTTTGGCACAGGAACAATTCACACCGGAAACGTAGGAAAATGTATGCTGCTTCCCCCTTCCAGTAACCTGTTTGAAGACATCTCCCTTTTTCATGGGAGTCAAAGCCATTTCCCATACAACTACACAAGTTAACAGCAATGTAAGGAACAAGCCTGAATTTAAAACAGGTGACGCATGTTCTAACAAGTCTCTCCCAGGACTACCTTCGGTGTTACCAAGTCTGCTTATACTGGGAAAGCGAATATCCCTTTGAGACTCCGACATTTTTATTACTGTAAATACAACCGGGTCACCATGCCTTTTTGCTGTCTTGCATCTCGCCATGCCCCCATGAGATAACCTTGTATAAAACAGTTCCTGAGAAGTGCTGGAAACTATCTATAAGACTGTAAAATGAAATTTCAAAGTATTATTTGATTCCCCCTATTTAAAACACAAATATAAACTATTTACCAATATTATTAATTCCTATAAGTATTTAAATTAATAAAGTAAAACAATATTATGAGTTATACCTATATACCTCTCTTCTCCGCCCTGGAGCTCAACACAAATATAAAAGAATATTGGGAAAAAAATCCCAAAACTTTATGCGTGGAATCTAAAGCACTGTCCTGATGTGGCTAGTAATCAGAGCTCCCACAGAGAAATGAAGTTGATAACGATCTTGTTGAGGGGATATAAATGGCATACTTTTCTTTGCAATTCTCAGCAAATTTCTAACTTTAACGACCCCACTTTAACAAAAAATCTTCATCTTGTAAGTCCCAAAGGGGTTACACAAACAATGCTCAGGGACAGAGCAAGGCTTCCTGTTTAGAAAGATGGCTTCTCCAGAAGCAAGTTCAAACAAAATGTAGAAAGGCAAACATCTTGCTCTTCGGGAGTCTAAACTTGCAGTATAGTTACTTCCTTACATGAGTTATTCCATTTGCATGAACAGATTGATGAGAAACAACAGCACTAAACTCGCGCTGTAAGTGTTTGCAGAGTTGAGGACTTATGAAAAACTCCGTTTTTCCAGCACAGCATAAAGAATTCGATCCAAGTCCCTTTGAAGTTAATTAAGAGTACTCCCACTCACTTTCCAAGAGCAGAGCCTGACTCCCATTAGAGTAAATATTTCTTACTGAATATTTAATGTTTCCTCATTTGTTAACCCCAATGCAAAAATCACTCAAAGGAAAAATGAACATATCTGCCTCGAGTTCCTGTAAATACAACATACACAAAACAAAATTCTTGTTTCACTGAAGGCTTTCTCCATTTATCCATAACACTCACTCTCTAAAAAAAAAAACTGTGTTAGGTGAAAAGATTGATCTTTCCTATTCTCGAGGAAGGAAAGATGTGACAAAGTTGGGGAAATTCTAGCTTCACGATCACCTACTAGTGGCTCCCAGAAGAGAAAAGACAATAGTACCATAAGGCTCTGTGAAAAACAGGGGAGTAACAACTGAACGATAATAAAGAGGCATAAATATCATCAAACGGGTAACAAAAAGAATCTTCCAAAGATAAATGTAAAGAAGAAACTTTGCAATAAAAATCTCAGTGCGTGGCCTACATTTCTACATGCTGCCCGTATAGACACTGGTATTTTCTCACTTCGGTGTTGCTGAAGCACCAACGAGGAAATCTGCTAGACATATACAAAGTTGTGTTCAGAAGAAATATAACACGGGGCTTGGAGGCCCTGAAGCCATTTTGTGTCAAATAAAAAGCAACAAAACGGTAAATCGGAGGCATGAGAAACCCAAGTTTGATGCCTGGGACTACAGCTTCTAAACAGAAAGGGTAGATTACCCTGCTCCTTTTTCTGACACTCCTTTCCTTTCATGTGGCCGGGTTAAATTGTAAGACCCGTGCTGGGAAGGAAGGAAGGAAAACTGGAATTGAATTCAAGAGGTGGAAAGAAATAATCCTGGCAAAAGGGGTTTGCAAATGTCAATAGGTATCGCTTTTCAGCAGCAGCTTTTAAATACCTGATTTCAATTACTTTCTGAAACATACCATAGAAACTAAAATAAACCCCAGCACTACCTATTAGGCTGCCCAAAGCAAGAGCATGTGTGCAGCATCTACATACATGAATCCAATAGATGGGAACTAAAGGAGATCATCTCAAAGAGAAAGAAGCGGCAACACATCACAAAAACAACGTGCATACGGCATGATAATTAAAGCAACTGTGTTTGTCTCCAGACAGTTCTCCTTTCGTCCCTGTTCACTGGTTTTATGCGTTACGCTTTTCACACAGGAAGTGGGGTGAGAGGAAAAAGAAAAAGCAGAAAATTTGGTTTTTTCTCCTATTCCGGGCTTTCCGAATTAAATCAGTTTTCACTGTTTTTATATTTTACAAAACTGAAAGCTTGCTTTGTCCCGCTGCAGCAGTGGGGAGAGTTCAACAATTAAGTTTACAGAAAGATTTTTGTGCACCATAAACAATAAGTTCTCCTAAAAGTAAACTAATATGCACCAGAAGTTCAAGCGAGCACACAAACGTCACTGGAGCTATGGCACTATCGCCCAAAGATTTAACTTCTGAAATCTGAAGACAATAGGAATTCATTAAGAACACACTTTCTGATATTTTTTTCCCTCTTGGTATAAGATAGTTAAATGGCGAAATGCAAAGATACATCTTTACTAATCAGGACTGCTCATACAGTTAATATACGTTTGTTCCCTCACATTCGTATAACAAAAACCAGATGAACAGCCCTTAGCCGTATTACTCACTTAAAGAAAAGACACTACATACAGGTCAGGTACTTGCTGCCTATCCTTTGTTGACTTTCTGCATTACACCTTCTCATTTCCCTCTTCTCCTCCTCATACATACTACTCTCTACTCCCTTGAAGATGATTATGACGTTGGGTCTTCAAGGCAAAGAATATTCAAAAAAAAAAAAAAAAGTCCGTAAGACTAAAGGAATGTAACATTTACCCACGGTCATTAATAGATCCTGAACCTACCTTTGCAAGCTGGATTAATTCATTGGCGACACCAACCTCTGGCCAAACAATCCCTTCTACAGACAATAACGTTTGCCCAGTTTCCCTCACATGCGGGCCTGGAGAAGTCCGCTGATCACAAACACAAGCTCGCTCTTCCCCTGCCTCAGAGACGGAAAAAACAAACCTCTGCTGCAGTTTGTTAGCTGGTCTGATTGGCCGGATGGAAGGACGGCCAACCATACCTGTGAGCGATTTCCAACAGGTTCTCTGTCATGTCACCACTCTGCGCTTTTTGCAAATTCAGCCACGTCGACTGCAGCCCTAGAAACACCGAAGCAACAGCGTTTTTTACTTGCTGCTACCGAGCAGAGCGGGCGCGCAACGAGCTGGATGTTCAGAACAGCCAGGCTAGGTACATCAAGATGGCACAAGTTACGCTCATTTTCTTCGTGGGGCGCTCTCCGGTATCAGCCCGCCTGACACCATCATCGCGAAACGCTGCTTACGCAGCGCTTGGCTTACCAACGGCGCCCCACCGGAGCCTGCAACCCGCGGGCCGCTGCAGACCAGCGAGGGCCGCTTACCGGAGCCGCGCGCCGCCGTGCCCCACGCCGCCACGACCCCCACGCCC